CTATTTTTCCTGATTATGTCATCATCATAATCATTTGTTCGTCATTTTGTGTGCACCGCTCTGTGATTTTTTTTATTCTTTTTGAAAAATCATATGTTTTATTAAACGGGCCAAGTGCCCAAGGCCAGAAACAACTGTACATTGCACAGAAGAAGAACAGGAGCCTAGAAGTCTCACACCTGCAACCTAAGACAAAGACCCGTTCCTGCAGAAAATCCAAGAAACATAAGCACGAAGAGTGTTATGTAGGGCGTAGCTTCACCACTCACCAAATGCGGACAATGAGTAAATCTTCCGTTTTAATATGGGAAGATACACTGCCACATTTTTGTCCTTTGCGCATGTGCAGAGTAGTGGAGCGAACACCATAGGAAATTGGTAGAGGTACTAGAGGGTCTGCAAATGCTGAGAGATGGCATTGAAAATGAACTGCATCATCCTCGAGCTGTCTTTTCAGTCCTGTTCTCCGCTTCCCCTGTCTCCCTGTCTACCTTGTGTTTGTTTCAATTAACCACACATGTGCACAGTTGAGATTGCTTTCAACCATGCATCTGCACAGTGTTTATGTGGTTAGTGCATGCCAAACACCGATTACAGCTCTCAGAATTATTGGGGAAACTCTGTCAGAAAACTTGAATTTTCAGGATATTCAGAAAAAAAATCTAATCTGTGCCTCGGTGTGTGTGTGTGTGTGTGTGTGTGTGTGTGTGTGTGTGTGTGTGTTGCTTTGTCTTTTCTTTTCAGGCCTTGGTGTCAGCATACTGCATAAACATTGCGATTGTTGGCCTCAACCAAGTTTTCGACATTGAAATTGATCGGGAAAGTTCTTTTCTTCTACTTCCTCCTCCTCCTCCTCCTGCTCCTCCTCCTTCTTCTTGTCTTCTCTGTCTCCCTTGTTGTCTTCTTACTTATCCAGCTCCTCGTCATGCTCCCCCACTCTTTTTCTTATTCCTTCGGTTTATCCTCTCCTTCCTCTCCCTCCACCTGCCTCCTCGTCTTCCTCCTCGTCTTCCTCCTCGTCTTCCTTCTCGTCTTCCTCCTCGTCTTCCTCCTTGTCTTCCTCCTCGTCTTCCTCCTCGTCTTCCTCGTCTTCCTCCTCATCTTCCTCCTCGTCTTCCTCCTCGTCTTCCTCCTCGCCTTCCTCCTCGCCTTCACCTTATCCCTCTTCCTCCTCTTCTTTCTCTCTTCAGTCGTCGTTTCCATCCTCGTCCTCCCTCTCGTTCTCCTGCCTTCACCACTTCATCGTCGTTGTCATGACATGTGTCTGAGAACACAATGTGATGCTTTTCCAGCACAGTCCCTTCTACTCCGAAATAGCTACCAACAGTGGAGTACCCTACACAGTGCTGCCAAACTGAAAAACGTTTTTACCATAATGGGAGCTGCATGGCAATACTGAAAAACGTTTTTGCGTCAATATGGCGTTCCTGGGGGATTCCTTGTCGCTACTTTCTTCTTCTTCTCTTCTTCTTCTTCTTCTTCTTCTTCTTCTTCTTCTTCTTCTTCTTCTTCTTCTTTGCCTCTTCTTCGCCGTCTTCTTCTTCTTCGCCGTCTTCTTCTTCTTCTTCTTCTTCTTCTTCTTCTTCTTCTTCTTCTTTTGTTCAGTTGCATTTGTGTCCACCGTGAACCCATGTTCTTAACCTCTGCCACAAGTTCTCTCCGCCCCGCAGCCTTCTGAATTGCCTGATTTGGCTCAAATTTTGTCTAGCCCTGTTTGTCTGTCTGTAGAAGTAGAAGAATGTTTGTTTTCACGACTGTTGTCCGGTCCAGGGCTGCGTGCACCCTTTTTTTTTTTTTTGATCTGAGAATCTAAGATTGGTTAATCTGATTAATTGATTTGATAAAATTTTGATCTGATGGATTCCCCAATTTGAGTTGACCTTCCCTACAGCAGATCACAGAGAGCAAAGCACCCCATGTTGTGGACACTGTAAAGGCGGCCAAGTGTACCCTACTGGGAATGCGTCTGCTGGTCACTGCCCGGTTTCATTGAGAATCACAATCAATGGTAAGTAGCAGCAGGTGTGTGCTTCACCATGCACAAAATTGAAGATGGAAGATGGACAAATCTTGCAAGGGTCGTTTGTGACAATGTCACGAAATCATTCTCACGAGGGGTGTTCGAGACAGAGGAGGCAGATGACGGCCGATGGGCAATGGACAACTACTCAACGATCAGACTGAGCACCACGTCGACCCAGAAATTATCAAGACATCGATCTTTCGTACTCTAGAGTCTAGTGGGGGAAAAAAAAAGTACACGAAAATACAAATCTTAAGAACGGCATGACTTAAAGATCATGGAAGATGTCCTTCGCGACATCGGTTAAAATTGGAACGATACAGAGAAGATTAGCATGGCCCCTGCACAAGGATGACACACGTTAATGGAGAAATCGTCCACACATAAAACAATACAAAGAAGAAGAAGAAGAAGAAGAAGAAGAAGAAGAAGAAGAAGAAGAAGAAGAGATCATGGAAGACAGTTGCTGGAGTTCCCATACAGTGTCCTAACTTGGCCGGGGATACTCGACGAACTGCTTGCTGCCAACCTCGCAAGCCAAAATTATAAAACCCACACTTGGTGGGCCAAGGCAATAGATTTTGAAAGATACACTTAGATACTATAAGAAAAAAGAAAAAGAAAAAAAAAATAAAAAAAAGAAAAAAAGAAAAAGAAAAAGAAAAAGAAAAAAGGAGGTGATCACGCAAACCTGGATTGCAGGCCAAAAGGCTATAAATTTTGGAGATACTAAAACAAAACAAAAAAAAAGAGGTGATGCAAACCTGGATTGCAGGGCCAAGGCTATAGATTTTGAGACATAAATTTTGGGAGATACAGATACTATTGAAAAAAAAAAAAAAAAAAAAAGAGATGAGTGCTCGGGTAATGGCTTGGACGACTGGATTGATGAGAAAAAATCAGACCCAATCCTGGAGATGGAACAAGAGCCGAATCAACGTCTGAATTGACCACTGGCAGATGGACTGATGCCTCAAATATAACGTGTGGTGTGCCAAATGGCATGGTAAAGACTGGACAGCCGCACCAGAAATCCGGGTATCCAGGTGATAACCGATGGACCAGCCCTGCAGATGGCCCAGGACATACCAAGTATTGCCAACCAACTCAATTAACGGAATGGGTAGTTGGGGCCCAACATTCACATCCCTGCTGGGTAGAACATTGACGATCAACTCCCCTATTTTCTGCAAGATGTTGTACATAGCGTCCATTTAGACAATCCCTGAGCACACCATTTCTGAACTCAACACGAAAGCAAGACCTTACCTCTGCACTGGTCACCACAATAAAGAAAAGTATATTCCAAAAGATCATCCACCCACCCACACACACACACACAGCGAGAGAGAGAGAGAGAGAGAGAGAGAGAGAGAGAGAGA